AAAAAAAAAAAAAAAAAAAAAAAGAAAATGGGATGGGTTCTGACTTAGCTCTGGATTGTTGAGAACTGGAGCATTTATTCAGAGAGACTGAGTATCCAAGAGGGACCGTTCGGACCAGCCCTGAGAGAAGCAGAACTCTGAATATGCTGATTATCTACATCAAAGGCTCCAAACCGGAAAAGACAATTATTAACTGGAAAGCACTACAGGACATTTGGCTTCTTTACCGTCCTTCCCGGGGGGACAGTGAGCTCCACAAGGGCGGGGCTCAATAAACATTTACGAGTGAACTTAAAGATGGGCACACCGCTGGGACTAAGGGTGCGGGGCCCCTCGCCAAGGCCTGTCATCGCACCGGCGACTCGCCACGCTTCCCGAAGCCGAACAGTGCGCAGGGCCCACAGGGAGCCCCGGCCTAAGGTCGGACGCCGACCTCAGCTGAGGCTGAGGTTCACGACACACCCATTTCTCCCTTCCCTCCCCCAGGGCCGGCTCCGGCACCCGCTCCAGCCTCGCGCGCCAGTCCCTGTCGGCCCCGGCCTGCACCTTCATCCCCAGGACGTCCCGGTAGAAACGCGCCGTCTGGAAGCGATTTCCCACTTTGAAAACGAAATGCAGAGCTCTGCGAGTAGCCATGACCCCGGCCGCGCGCAATGGTCACCCGCGCGGCAGCGCCCCGCCCACAGGGGGCGCGCTGGACCGTGACGTCACTGGTCGCCGACGGCGCGCTTTCGTGACGCAGCCCAGGTCTCGGGGAAGATGGCCGCGCTGAGGAAACCCGCGCGGTTTGCATTGCTACCGTTGCTGCAGGTGGTCCAGGCTTGGGACCTTGGCGCGAGGCGCTGGGTCCGAGCACTGCGGCGGAGCCCAGTGAAAGTGGCGTTTCCTTCCGGAGAGGTGGTGGAACGGAAGCGCGCTCCTGGGAAGCAGCCGCGCAAGGCAGCATCCGAAGCCAGTGCCCACAAGCCACAAGAGAAACAGCCGCTTGAGGTGTCCCCATCCCACACTCCCAGCACCTGGGAAGAGTCTGGGCTTCGCTACGATAAGGCTCTTCCTGGGGACAGGAGGCTGAGGTGATGTGTTATTGAGCCCTGTCGAATGTTCTCGTTTCCCTTCCCCTCTTACAGCAGAACCTTAACCTCCGTCTCCCGATGGAGGACTTCTTCCAGTACAGCCCCCTGGATTTTTATTGTGCACAGAGAGCCGAATGAGTGTCTTTGGAATTAGCGTCTGTCTCTCCTTAGCTCTTTGTTGTTGTTTCACCGTGTTGCCCAGGCTGGTCTCGAACTCCTGACCTCAGGTGATTCGCCCGCCTCGGCCTCCCCAAGTGCTGCGATTACAGGCGGGAGCCCTCTCCTTAGCTCTTTCTCTTACAACTAAGCTTGTCTCAGTAACAAGGATGTTAATAATTACCTGCCTTTTTATTTCCATCTACAGCAGTGTGATGACAATAGTCAAGTCCAGGCCATTTCGGGAAAAACAAGGGAAGATCCTGCTGGAGGGTCGCAGGCTCATCGCAGACGCTCTCAAGGCTGGAGCTGTGCCAAAGATTTTCTTCTTTAGCCGTGTAGAATACCTAAAGGAGCTGCCAGTCGATAAGCTGAAAGGTGTCAGCCTCATTAAAGTGAAATTTGAAGATATCAAGGATTGGTCTGACCTAGTAACGCCGCAAGGAATAATGGGTCAGTGATTACACAGTGTGTCTTAAGGTGTGGAGACCTAGGATTAATTGCTCATACTTGTGTTAGGACAGCAGATTTCACTGAAACTAAACTTAAAATGTTACAATTAGAGAAATATAATTCTCAGAACTGTGTATCTTAGAGTATTTTCAATGAAAATTGAAATCTGTTTTTCACTATCTTTGCATTGTCGCTCTTTAGTCTCTAGGAAGAACCACTATTCCTCAAACCTTATATTTTTTCGGTTACTTCTTCAACTTTTTATGTCAGATTAAAAATTAAGGAAATGTTTACTAAAAGATTTAGCCCTTTGTTTTTGCAAAACCTCTGCCCATGTGGTGGTAACTGTCGGCTCCTTCTAGAAGCAGATCTAAGAAGTGAGGTATAAGCCACAATTTATTGCCCTGTTGAGCCCCATAAACAGAGCCTTATCTTCTAGTCTGTTTCTTCATTTGGCTGAATCTAACTTAAGGTTTTATTTAACTCTGATGTCAATAAGCAATTACAAAATCTTTTGTCTAAATATGAGTTCTTCATACGTTTTTGACATTGGAGTTTTATTTCAGATATGAAAACTGAGTATTTGAACTGTTGGGGGAGGAGATTCTGGGGGACCATCTCTTGTCTCTGTAACCCAGTGAGTCACAGGTATCTGTGCCTCTATACACAGAGCTCTTAGATCCTAGGATGGGGACTTGGATTACTAAAGTACTTAGAGTTACTCATGCTAGGTAACTGTTTTCTCTTTAGCTACAACCCTCTAATCCCACTCCATGCTTCAGTGAAAGTGTCTTCATTTCTACTGTGCTTGTCAGTTGGGGCAAGTGTGCTAACAGTGGCCAGCGCATCCTGCAGTTCATCATTATGGACTGCTTTCATCATTTCCTGGCTTTAAAATGTTTATACTATTGAGCTTATCCTTATGTTACTATATTTCAGATTTTTTTTTTCTTAGACAGACTCTGGCTCTGTCGCCCAGGCTGGAGAGCAGTGGCACAATCTTGGCTCACTGCAACCTCCGACGCCTGGGTTCAAGAAATTCTCCTGCCTCAGCCTCCTGAGTAGCTGGGACTACAGGCACATGCCACCACACCCAGCTAATTTTTGTATTTTTAGTAGAGACGGGGTTTCATCATGTTGGTCAGGCTGGTCTCAAGCTCCTGACCTCATGATCCTCCTGCCTTGGCCTCCCAAAATGCTGAAATTACAGGGATGAGCCACTGCGCCTGGCCTTATATTTTAGATTTGAGGGCAAAGAGGGAGGGAGAAATGGATGGGAACTGGCACCACCTGTCAGGCTTTAGATACCCTCTGGAATCAGTGATGTAAGTAGGGCCTCTGTTTGGTAGGTTCTCATCACCACAGACATCCAAGTAAAGGACTTCTAAGGTCCCCAGCCCTACTGAATGGCTTGTGGCCATCTGTGACTCTGAAGTGGAGGATCTCTTACAGGGCACAGAAGCCTAGTACCCTTCCAGTCTCTTACAGCAGTCAGACGTCTAGTACCCTTCCACTGCCTTCAATGGTAGGTAGGCTTTTTACCTGCATTGTCTTTTAGAAAGAATCCTGAATCTTTCATTGTATCATGTTTCAGTACAAGAACTGTTTCATTCATTTCCTAACTTCAGTCAGTAGCCCGTTTATTGGGGCAATTATATATGACAAAATACTGGTAAGATTTAAAAAAAAAAACAAACCTAAACAGACCCTTGGGAGCATACTACAAAGGGACTGAGTATTTGATAATTATACCGGAAGAGTTTAGGGTAGTGCTTGGCCTATAAAAAATAGTTATCATTATCACCTTTACCAGTAAACATGGTGGTTCAAAAAGAAACTTGTGGATATGTGATACCTCCGTGTGAATAACTTCATCTTTACCACACACATTTCATGTACTCTAAAGCCATTTTTTTTTTAATATTGTAATTAGCCTTTTTCCAGTTTCTGTCTTTTCCCGTAAATTCTTTCCATAAAACTTTAGGAGCCAGAGGGTGTAATCTAGAGACTATTAAATAAGGAGAGAATTTTTCACGAAGGAGCCACTTAGGGTTTTCGTTTTTCCACATATTTCCAGACCCCATTTGCACTCCTTTGTATTAGACAGAGGACAAAGAGGCCGCCAGTAAGTGGCTGTGCTCATTCTAAAGCTCCCAGCCTCCCGGGCCTCCAGCCTTCACTGCACCTACAGCCCCTTCATTTTGCAGCATAGGTCCCTAAGACAGTGCTTCTGAGCCAATGTGTTTGAAAAAGGGGTTGTTACATTGATGCTGAGGTGGGTGGATCACCTGAGATCAGGAGTTTGAGAGCAGCCTGGCCAACATGGTAAAACCCTGTCTCTATTAAAAATAAAAAAAATTAGCCAGCATGGTGGGTGGGTGCCTATAATCCCAAATACTTGGGAGTCTGAGGCAGGAGAATTGCTTGAACCCAGGAGGCAGAGGTTGCAGTGAGCTGAGATCATGCCATTGAGCTCCAGCCTGGGCGACAGAGTGAGACTCTGTCCGCACAGCAACAAAATAGCCTTAAGGCAGTTAAAGGAAAAAAGTAGCTCCAAATGTACTGATGTCGTAAGTTTGAATGTTGTTATATTAAATAAGTAGATTACAGAATAATAAAGTATGACACCGAATGTAAAATACATATGGACAGGTGTGCATATATATAGGTAGATGTATTGAACACGTTATAAAAGGATGCGCTCCAAAGCAGAGCACTTGACAGGGAGGAGAGTGGTACTGGTAGGATTTTATGCTGTTTGAATTTTGCTAATCAGAAGGTATTCATGTACTTTTTAAAAAATTTTTCTTTTTTTTTTCCAGGTTCTCACAAAATCTGATTTTTTTTTCTTCATTTTTTTTTCAGTACTTATGCCTGGCCAACATGGTGAAACCCTTTAAAGATGGGGTTTCACCATGTTGGCCAGGCTGGTCTTGAACTCCCGACCTCAGGTGATCTGCCCACCTTGGCCTCCAAAGTGGTTGGATTACAGGCGTGAGCCACCACGCCCGGCCTCAGTCCTTTTTTAAAGACGGAGTCTCACTCTGTAGCCCTGGCTGGAGTCCAGTGGCATGATCTTGGCTCACTGCAACCTCTGTCTCCCAGATTCAAGCAATTCTCTGGCCTCAGCCTCCTGAGTAGCTGAGACTATAAGGACCACGCCTGGCTAATTTTTGTATTTCTAGTAGAGACGGGGTTTCACCATGTTGGCCAGGCTGGTCTCAAACTCCTGACATCATGTGATCCACCTCCCTTGGCCTCCCAAAGTGATGGGATTACAGGCATGAGCCACCGTGCCCAGCCCATATTCATGTATTTTTATGTAACTAAGACCACATAAAGGTTGATAAGTAAATGAAAAGTCAGACTATTCCCCATGCCCACACAAGTGAATGAAAAGTCAGACTATTCCCCATGCCCACACAAGTGAATGAAAAGTCAGACTATTCCCCATGCCCACACCACACAAGTGAACCATCTGTTTTGTTTCCTCAGGGATTTTTGCCAAACCTGACCATGTTAAGATGACATATCCAAAGGCTCAGCTTCAGCATTCACTGCCTTTATTATTGATTTGTGACAATCTCCGTGACCCTGGGAACCTGGGGACAATTCTGAGATCTGCAGCTGGGGCAGGCTGCAGCAAAGTGTTACTCACCAAAGGTAAGAGCACCAAAGGCCAGGCATGGCAGCTCACACCTGTAATCTAGCCCTTGGCAGCCAAGGGAGGAGGGTCACTTGAGCGTAGGAGTTCAGGACCCTCCTGGGCAACATAGTGAGATGTCATCTCTAAAAAAAAATAATAATAATTAACTGGGTGTGGTGGTGTGTGCCTGTAATCCCAGCAACTTGGGAGGCTGAGGTGGGAGGATTGCTTGAGCCTGGGATGTCAAGGTTGCAGTGTGCTCATCATTGTACTCCAGTGACAGAGTAAGACCTTGTCTAAAAACAAAAAACGTGTTACTAGGTGGATTCGTTGGTTATTTATTTATTTTTAAGCGATGGGGGTCTTACTGTGTTGCCCAGGCTGGGGTTGAACTGGCTCAGTTCAACTGGCTCAGCCTCCCAAAGTGCTGGAATTACAGGCAGGGCCACCCTGCCCAGCCAAGTTGGCCATTGTTAGGTGAGCCAGGGCTCTGGGCATACAGACACAGGTTTTGTCTTGGTTCTGCCTTTGCTAGCTGTGGCCCTGAACAGGAGTCCCTTCAGTGTCAGCGTCCTCGTGTGTGAAGTGGGAGCGGTAACAATCTCACTGGTCATTGTGAGGACTAAGTGAGTTGATGCACATCAGATACTTCACATCTCACCTTCTGTGCCTGGCACACAAGTAATTCAGTGTTGATTATCTTCACACCACACCCCCTGTGCCTGGCACACAAGTGACTCGGTAAACGTTGATGCTCTTTTTAAAAAATTACCTGTTTTTGTAGAGACAGGGTGTTGCCATGTTGCCCAGGCTGATCTCGAACTCCTAAGCTCAAGGGATCCTCCTGCCTCGGCCTCACAAAGTGCTGAGATGATAGGTGTTAGCTGCTGGATCCAGCCAGTGTTTATTATCTTTAAAATTATCATGAAACCTGTTAGGCTATTAAAGGACCTCAAGTCAATTACAGAAAAGAAATAGATGCCAATTTTAACACTTGGTTTCTGCTTCTTTATTTAATGATCTTGAGTTCCCAAATTGTTGAGTCTACGAGACGTTCCTAACCCTTAAATTCTGAATCCTGTGAAAGGCACCATGTCAACAGCATGTGATTCTGTAGTTGTGATTCATTTCCCTTAGCCTCAGCATGGGTCATGTGCGTACACACAGACTAGTCTCATTACATTTCGTCTCTTCCCATCAGAAATGGGGATGAACAGGCTTCTTCTAAACAGATTTGCCTAACAGTTGGGGCATGCCTACAATGTCTATTACACCTTGGGCGGAGAGCACAGAGAGGATCCTTCATCAGAGACACCCAAGCCACCATTAAGAGCAAACTAATAGTGGCACCCATTGTTGAGACTCAGTCACGCCTTGTTGGAGTACGTTTCTATGCCAGTGTGAGAGCTGAGTGCTGGGGTTCCAAGATCAGTACCCCGCTGACTTGCCTCATTATTTAGTGTCCTGATAGCTGTTCTGAGATTTGGAAATCTAAATAATCCAAGCAGTACAGTTTTTACATGGGTAAGAAACAGGGAAAGAAAGTAGGAAATACTTGGTGTGGTGCCCGGTGCCCAGTGCCCAGGACAGGAGGACAACGGCAGAAGCCCCACCAGGCAGAGGGGTGGCCTCGGCTGCTCCTCTCACACAGCTGGGCCCATCTTGGGTCCCTTTCCCCAACCTCTTGGCATATGGCCCAGCTCCCGACTCTGGTTTCCTGCAGGGAGCAGGAAAGCCAGTGGTAGGGGTGCAGGCGCTGTTACATCCTGTGTCTCATTCTCCTTTTGCTGGTTTGCCTGGTTAGTCTGTCCTGAGCTTTGACAAATGAACTTTTAAAATGACTTGTCAGGGGAGATGTGCACGGACAGGTTGCCAGGGGATGGTGGCAGGCGGTGCAGTCACTGTGAGGTCCACCTGGCCTGCTCCCCCAGCCTGCCCGGGGCAAGGAGTGGACCTGGGAAAGGCCAATCTCTAGTGCCTCCCCTGCTCCAGTGCAGGCTGAACACAAGCCCGGTGGGGCTTCATGAAACAAGCTGATTGTCAGGGCTTTGTGTAAGATCCTCAACCGCATGACACTGACTTCTGATAAAATGTCCAAGTCCCCAGCTTCCCACACATGGCCTCCTTTGTATTGGCCTGCCCACCTCCTGTGCCGCTACCGCCCCCTCCCGTTGATGGCAGGCTCACCTCCTGTGCCACCACACCCCACCCGCTGATTGGCAGGCTCACCTCCTGTGCCGCCACAC